TAAAAAGCAGTTATTACGGGGAAATGGGAGATTATATCCAACCTGATATCCTTAACTACTGAGACTTGACAAGGGACCACCCACCGTGCTCTTCCAGGTATTCTACCATTTGTACTCTGCCAGAAAAGAACACCATAATTATCCCATACGAGTCACACGTATCAGAGCATTGCTGAGGACCCATGTATTTATTTATTCTTCTCCCTTCTCTAAAGTCGATTAGAGCATTTTCAGCTTCCCTCGAGCTGTGTTCCACTGTGTCACAGTTGTGTGGTGTCACATGAGTGTCACAGCTGTGAGGTGATGTGTCACATGAGTGTTACAGCTGTGAGGTGATGTGTCACATGAGTGTTACAGTTGAGAGGTGATGTGTCACATGTGTGTCAAACTGTCACAGCTGTGTGGTGTCACATGAGTGTTACAGCTTTGAGGTGATGTGTCACACTGTCACAGCTGTGTTCCACTGTGTCACGTGTGAGCTGCTTGTGGTCTGTTAAATACTTCTGAGTTGTTTGCATCTTTCTTTTCAAACAATTCAACCTTTTGATCCATCTCAGACTCTAATTATTTTACGTAAATCATGTTACAATACCATCTTGTTAGGCGAAATTATGTCGCATAATAAAAGCACAGGATCTCTTTTCAAGCTTACTTTTACACGTGCGCTTGAAAAACAAATACACCTCCCCACGTGTCAGAAATCCAGCACGTGCGACGTCCGCGCTTCTTTGTTAACCAGAGCTCCTTACACCAACCTTGCCTCCGAACCCCTCACACGTCTGTCTTGACAGAATTACTACGGGTAACCGGAGTAACTATCATCTCCTTGCTCCTTTAATCAGTCTAATTGGGTCATTATGTGATCACATGGTCACTGTGTGCTGACCTGAGAGGCTCCTTGTCAAGTACTGTGTACCTGTTGACTCTCTAAGTGTAATTTGTATGTTGTAATGCAGATCGGCTTGAACCCTGGACCGAGATAAATTCCGTGCCAGTTTGATTTGATGGAGGATGATCGAGAATCATAGTTGTTTTTTAATGTTAATGCGACGAAGATATTTTACGGTCGCTGTAATTTTGCTTAGTAAGCTTTTACTCGCTCTGTAATATTTCTTATACTTACTTTCTTTTTTGGTACGGACTGTAACATTTAAAATCGACGGAGAGCCAAGAATTTGAACCTGTAAATAAAAGTATTCCGAAGTAAATCATGACAATTCTCAGGACACAGTAAATGGGTGCTTCAATCCCACCAGTATGCTATATAACCCGCAGCTCATAGGCTTCTTTATCCCCCATATTTGATAGATCCCTCCTTGTCGTGTGGCAATTTTAAAACAACCTCTTAATGGCTCGTTATCTGCACGTGCAAATAGTTCTCAACGCTTATTGGTTATTTTTCGCACGTGCACAAAAGTTTTTAAGCACGTGGTGCAGATGATGTCTGTCATTGCGTGGTGTGAGATAAATATTTTCAACAGTTTGTACCTTGTCACTGATCCGGTAACCATCCATGTGCGCATTTCTTATTTAATTTTATTGCTTTATATTGGTTACATGTTGCTATGGCCATCTCCTTCTGGATAATTTGTTTTCATAGCCAAAATTTCAAGTAAAATGTTGAGAAACTTAGTTGTGTAACTATATCAGTTTTGAGTTTTCTGAAGGAATCAAAAATGTAGTCCTAGGCAATATAATATAATATTGTATATATCCTCTCTACTACTCTCTACTACTCGCTGTACATATAATAAGCTATCTAAAGCATGGTCAGAACACTGAGGCTGCAATGGAGGCTGCAACTCCTACCATGCGGGATGCTCATCCTTGTCATACAGATCAATGGTTAACACACAGCTTTATCAAGTTGACAGTTTTGAATCCTTTTTGAACACATTTATAGTTTCCCTGCTCTGCCTTTTTTTTTTGCTGTTTGATTTCTTTGCCCATTCTTCTTGGTGCTTCTGCACTCTTATCTCAAGGTAATTATACTTCTTATGGAAGAATGACTTCAACTGGTTTCAGTTATTTTTATATATCAGTGGTGGGCGCTGGGTACAGCTTATAGCTGTAGAATAACTGAGCTGTTCCTTTTACAACATCTTTTCAGAGTCGTGATCATGCATCATTCTACCCTGCGCATTAAGGTTTTGAACCATTTGTCTTTTGATATTTAACCTCTATCTGATGTAGAATGATCTTTCTGTACTCTGTATCTTACAATTTTACCTTGAAGTGATTATAAATAGGGTAGTCTTTTATCACTAAGGAGTGATTATAAATATGGTAATATTGTATCACTAAGGTTGAATAAAAAATAGGCCTTCTATTGGATCAATGCTATAATGCTTTTCATACCTATGCTATTTCTTGAGGAGCATGACCACCACTACACTACCAGCCTCAATCACGATAAACCTAGGCTGCAGGTTACCTGGTTACAGGTTACACTGGTTACCCTGGTAACAGGTTACACCCTGCAGCACTCGGGGAAATCGGTTCTCTGTTGTTAAACGTCAAACCTTTGGGTTGTCATGAAGCCGTTGATAGTGCACATATTCCACACACGAGTGTTATCAGGCGATAACCCTTGTTGATAATGTCACATATTGATTGGCTGTGTCACCCCACGTGTCAGATCCGTAAAGCACAGGATTGGTTGGTTTGTGCTGTTTGCCAGGCAGCCGGATCTCCGATTGGTTGCGATGGTGTAGGGGTTCTTGTAAGGATAGAGCACTGTGTCTGAAGTGGGCGTGACTAACCGCGTCTGTACAAACTGCTAACTCCCAACTCCGCCATTCAAGCTTTCTTTTACTTCTCTTTCCTTTCCGTTTTGTTCAATTCACGAGGCTAGAAGTAAGCTTTTTCCTGTTGATCTGGCGTTGTCTGCAGTAGACTGCCACATTGAACATGTCCGGCACATGTCCATCAACCATCCGTGGAAGGCATCGAGGAACTTTCACTCGATTCTACGAGACAATATGGCACGGCGGTCCGTAATGCTAGGTAACCGTGAACCCTCCTCTAAACTTACCAAAACGTGATTATCAGATTCTGACAGTTTACCCTTCATATTTTGCGGGAAAATTAAAAACCAATACGTTTTGCCGAAAGTTTTTTTTTAAATTTACAAAATATGGAGGGTTTGCTGTTACTTCTTTACAGCACCATTATTAACATCCAACCCAATAATCACCAGCACTTTCACGTAACAATTTCCCACGCACTTGTTTTTATTTGTGTTATATTGCAACTGAAAGTATCATTAATCAAGTGGTTTTGCATTCCATATTTTTACAAACCCGCCCACATGGTGATTAACTCTGTATAGAGCTAAGTGCTAGCTACTTGCTAGCTACTTGCTAGCTAAATTACTTGCTAGCTACTGGCAAGTAATTATGCTAAATAAGGACTGTTTGGGGGTATTTGGCACAGTCCTGCTAAAAACTTAGCACAAGTTGCCTGTTGACGTGTCGTAGTATGGTTCAAACATTTCATTTGACAATAGTGTCACTCCAGCTTAACTTTAACCGCACCTGCTTTAAACAGGTTTAGTTCAATAAATTTAGTTTTATTTTTAGTTTTATTTTTAGCTCTCCGTTGAATACTTGTCCAGGTTGTGTTGAATACTTGTCCAGGTTGTGTTGAATACTTGTCCAGGTTGTGTTGAATACTTGTCCAGGTTGTGTTGAATACTTGTCCAGGTTGTGTTGAATACTTGTCCAGGTTGTGTTGAATTCTTGTCCAGGTTGTGTTGAATACTTGTCCAGGTTGTGTTGAGTGATATAATTACTTAAATCTTATTCCTGGACAACTTGTTACCGAATACTATACTCGTAGCTCAAGCTGTCTGGAGGTATTTGAAGAATGGAAGGTCTGGCAGTAGATACAACACTCGGCAACATATTCGACCGGAAGAAGAGCAACAGTTTCCTATCTCTCAACCGATTTCAGAAACCCCCAACCTCAACAACCCCCGCAGCAACTCCTCTAAAAACCCCTGAACACACCACATGTAACCGTATCTTCTCGGGGAGCAAACCCCCGCTGCCCCGCAAAATAGAGAACCTCCAAGCTTACGACCGTGATAGTTTCGCCATACCACGTGCAAAGAGCGAGGGGAGTGTAACGTGTTGCCAGGGTGACGCGGCGGTGGTCATGCGGAGGAGATCCAGCACTCAGATCACTGCGGAGATTATTGAGAGGAGGAACAACCGACTGTCCAGAGTTTCTATTAACTCCGCTTTGTTTGATATGACGTACGGGAGCAGACGGAGTTCTATTGCATCCTGTGAGTAGGATACGTGCTGCAGGGGTGTGGTGGGTGCCTGGTCTTTGTTTGGTATAACTATAATAATTATACAATTATAATCATAATAATTATACAATTATAATTATAATAATTATACAACCACAGTGCACGGTAAAATTAACAAGTTAATCTTATGAAAATAATTTTAAACCATTAAGCATTCTCACAAACGTTCAAGATATGAAATGATGAAGCGTGTACGTGTAGAATTACAGTATATGAATGAGTACTTGTAGTTTGGTAACACGCATCTTTTTAATGAGTAAAGAAAAAGGTTATCGTAAGAATGCTGCATGGACATGGGACCCGCAGTTGTTTGATCACAGTTTCTTTGTTATGAATCTTAATCTGGGTGGTTTGAATTATTCTCTTGGCATTTGTTTGTTCTAGGTTGTGGTTGAACACTAAGTTTATTATCAATCAAATAATTTATCAATACTCGATAACATTAACTACGGTTGTTGAGGTGAAGGCGATATGACTCGCGGATTCACCAGTCGTTTTTTATTGGTGTCGTTCATATCCCCGATAGGTCAATATTTGTCACTAAGACTTCGCCTCAACAGCCGTATCCGAGTTAACAAATCCCTCACAACTAACCTTATATGGGCATCACGTGACTACTACAGTTCACCTTATATGGGCATCACGTGACTTTGATAGTAACTAACGTATTACTTTGTTACAGTGGAGAGTGGTTGCTCGAACGTACCTTTGGAACAAGGTGAGAAGGAATGGATAGTAAAGTCAGCCCTGGGAGACTGCAACACTATTTCCAGACTTCTGTTAACAGATAAAAACTTGGTGTACTACAAGGACTTTATCTCCGGTTACACTGGTAAGTAACTTGGTGTAAGTTACAAGGACTTTATCTCCGGTTACACTGGTAAGTAACTTGGTGTACTACAAGGACTTTATCTCCGGTTACACTGGTAAGTAACTTGGTGTACTACAAGGACTTCATCTCCGGTTACACTGGTAGGTCTTTCAGTTGTGTGAAATCCTGATTTGGAAACTTTACTTTTATGTGTTCACCGTTATTTTTTGAACTTTTCAACCTACCAGTTTTGGTAGATGTTACAGAAATAACCAATATTTCACTGAAATTTGCCACTTTAAATGACTTATTAGTTAGATAAACGATTACAATATGTGTAAGATAACCCCTCTTACCACAGGACTGCACTGGGCGTGTAAGTTAGGTAGAATAGATATGGCTAAGATACTACTAGAAGCAGGCAGTGAAGTCAACATGAAGAGTAATAGTGGTCACACTCCCTTGCATTTAGCGGCCCAGACCGGAAAGACAGACCTTATTGAACTCATCATCAGATATGGTTTGTTTTATTTTACTTTCTGCTTTTACTAATAAAAATCTTGAAATATTGTTTTAGTGAGGACATGTTTTTGAAATGACTCAGTTATCCCTAACTTAGAAGATAAAAAAAGGTGATTATTCCATATTCGTACTGACCAACTATTAATGCTATTCAAATAAAGTTACAACGAATTCTTCATGTAGTGCATCCTGGGTTTGGACAGGATATGCCCGTTTAAAATATTTCCATCGCGTTACATTACATAATTCTGAAACATATATTATATTTACAATAAATTATGCAATATCACAACATTACAACTATGTTTTCAGGGGCAGACAAGGACATCAGAGATCATAAAGGGAAGAAATCAGGTCACTACCTCCCCCCCACTGCCCCAGAGGAGATTAAGGGCCTTCTCAATGTACACGATCCCCGACTAGTCAAGTTAGTCTTTAAAAGACTGTACACTCTCTGATTATTTCACATGTTTTTTTTCTCCTATATTCTTTCATTTTCGCTCTGGTATAGTTTATCAGATAAATTGTAAATATCTAACTTGTGATCTAAGGCACGTGTTATTATTTCAACTGGGACAGTGACAATCGACTAGTTTTTAAATTGTACTATTCTCGTTAGTATGTATAGTATGTATAGTATGTATAGTATGTATAGTATGTATAGTATGTATAGTATGTATAGTATGTATAGTATGTATAGTATGTATAGTATGTATAGTATGTATAGTATGTATAGTATGTATAGTATGTATAGTATGTATAGTATGTATAGTATGTATAGTATGTATAGTATGTATAATATGTATAGTATGTATAGTATGTATAGTATGTATAGTATGTATAGTATGTATAGTATGTATAGTATGTATAGTATGTATAGTATGTATAGTATGTATAGTATGTATAGTATGTATAGTATGTATAGTATGTATAGTATGTATAGTATGTATGGTATGTATGGTATGTATGGTATGTATGGTGTGTATGGTGTGTATGGTGTGTATGGTGTGTATGGTATGTATGGTATGTATGGTATGTATGGTATGTATGGTATGTATGGTATGTATGGTATGTATGGTATGTATGGTATGTATGGTATGTATGGTATGTATGGTATGCATGGTATGCATGGTATGCATGGTATGCATGGTATGCATGGTATGCATGGTATGCATGGTATACATGGTATGCATAGTAAGCATAGTATGTATAGTATGTATAGTATGTATAGTATGTATAGTATGCATAGTATGCATAGTATGTATAGTATGTATAGTATGTATAGTATTACTATGCTATGTATAGTATTACTATGTATGACAACACCGTACTAAAATCCACGACCTAGCATCAGGTCAGCTGTACGGGTGGAGTTTGCTGAACTGATCGACACGGACATGACCCTTTCAACTAAAAGTAAAACTGACCTTACGCTTACTGACAACAAACACAAAACAATGACCCTCGGAAGAATGCTTGGGAAGAAGGGGGTTTCCCCAAGAACCACCCCTCACTCTACCCCCGTCGCTAAAAAGAAGAAGTTTGGGTTCTTGGTTTCATCCACGGACTCAGAGACTGATAAAAGTTGGAACCCAGAGCTAGACAAAGCAGAGAAGAAGCGAAGGAAGAAGCTGTTGAAGAAAGGAGTGACAGGGCTGGACATCAAACTCGCGCACACTTCTGGATCACTTCACAAAGTGGAGATGATTAAGAGCGTAAAGGATATGGTGGACGAGGAGGAAGATGGAGGGGAGCAGGAAATAGTGAGGGTGAGGGGGATGTCAGTCAGGAGAGTGGATAATAGGAGGAGCCCCAGATCAAGGCGCAGGGTCCGGAGCGAGGTTGTCAGGAAGAGTATCAAGTCAGATTGGGACTGTCCGCCTGAGTGGAATATTGATCCTAACCAGATAGCAGAGTCCTCGCCACCTCCTTTACCACCCAAGAACATATCCCTGAGGCACCCCCAATCTCCTTACGTCCCTCCCCTTCCTCCCAAATCTGTAAATCAACAAGGTTTAAACAGAGAGAAAACTCTGAAAGGACTGAAGTCCACTTGGGAGGCCCCTGACGAGTGGAACATGAGTCCGGAAGAGTGGGACAGTACTCCGTCTCCAGAGGATTGGGACAGGCCTCTCCCTCCTCTACAACCAGCAAGGCCTGAACAGAAACCTAGTATCCCTCCTCTACAACTAGCAAGGCCTGAACAGAAACCAAGTCTCCCTCCTCTACAACCAGCAAGGCCTGAAATGAAACCAAGTCTCCCTCCCAAAGGGAGGAACCAACTACCTCCCGCTCTCCCTCCAAAGAATGGAGCGAAATTACCGCCAAAACAACATGTACTGACCGCACATTTACCGCCAAAAAACACTCACCCACCTGGATTACCGCCGAAACTTTCCACTTATAATAGCGACCGACCTCCTGCTTTACCTCCGAAAAGTAAAGTAACTGACGTTTAATATTTTTTAATAACTCATATTATGAATGAAATACATTCTTTTAATTTTGACACGTCGTTTTGGGAGATGCTGTATAAGGAGTACTTAAATCAAAAAATTTGACAATACGCTCTTTAATTTAATTTAATGGAGGAATGCATTGTATTACAAAATTGTCTTTGAGAAATTAGAATCGAACTCCTGATTTATTTTAATATCACGGAAAATTCATCGCTTGATTCGACAGAAATTTATATCAATTGTTAGATTAAAATTTCAACTTGGCCGACTCAATATTTTACCAATTCCCTTGGATCGTTAATGGATTGGTTAATTGATTATTGTTTTCCGTCACACCAACATCTACAAAAGACAGCTTACAGTGAACTGAAGACAATCAACTGACCATATAACGACTCTGTGAAACACAGCTTGTTGAATGATAAAAGCTTTGTAGTTATTTTCTTGGTAAGGATATGTGGAAGCTGCAACAGTATATCCGTTATTACAAGTGAAGCACTGTGGTGGAACTAGCCTGTTATAGATTTCGTTAATGTCATATGTATTTTCTATATATCATCAGTGTTGTCAAACAATTTTAAGTTTATTTTAAATTCCAACCAGTTATTATTCCGTCAACAATCAGAGAATCTATAAAATTATTCAGTCTTCTAATTTATACTTATATCTATTATTATATTATACTATATTATGTAGTAATAATAATTTCTTTCAGCCACACAAATCCAGCTCTGAGGAAGCTATCCAAGCACCAATCCGTTGGTTTCGACATTAACGATAATACCCCCAAACGCGCCCAGACCCTCAACCAGGTAATTTGTTGTTTTATTTGTGAAGGAGCATGTGTTATTTTATGGCATTTAGCTAAGCCGCGCACATGAACTTTAATACTAGCGCACATGTACTTCAATACTAGCAAAGAATTTTACAAAACAATTTAACAAAAACTGATATTATCATATAATTATTATATAATAAACATTTTCTAATAAAAATGTATACATTTTTCTGGTACTCTGCTACCAGAATATTAAAAATCTTCTGTTACCCAGGCTTGGAAGAAATACAAGCATTCCTTCGTTACAAAGAAGAAAAAGGACGGTGGAAAAATAGACTCCAATAAGCGGGACAGTACGCTCGCTCCAAGGTAAATTACCTGGTCAATTAATACTTTTTTATTATAAGCAATTAAGTTATAATTTGTCAATAAGTATGTTATACATGTTGTTTAGAAAAGAGGCCGGTGTAACGCACATTTATCTTACACATCAAAATATTATATTTTCTTCGCTTTTTGTCTTTTTGATCTCTCACACCATCAAATTAATCTCATCTTCACTTTCATCCGTATTCGTTCATGATTGTGTGTCCATTTCCTATCTCTGAATATTAATACTTCACTGTACTTGTTGTTTGAGCTTAGTGAACTCAGGAAATGAACTTTCTCACGATATGTTGCCTGATAACCAAGTAACCCAGTTTCAAAGTAACCAAGTAACCCAGTTTCAAAGTAACTAAGTAACCATACAAATAAGTTATCTGTCCAGAAATCCCACTTCTCAACCCACTACAATCGGGGTCAGAGAAGCTGTCATCATCTCAAACTGTTCTGCACTCTCCCTCTCCAAATCTGCAAACTCTGGACTCTTATCTTCAATCTTATTCTCGTGTCTTGGCACGTGACCCCGTGCTGCTATCAGGAGCAGAACCACTGCAAGGAGTGAGACCAGGAGGATGGGGGATATCAGGAGGAGCACCTCACCTCCGTTTAGTTTCCTCATTCTCTTATGATTCCCACCTCGTTCGAGAGTAAAATGAGAGCCTGGTACCAGCCCAGCAAGATTGAGATTTCAGTCTCTTGAGTTAATTATGGTTGCAGAAGAAGCGCAAGGGTGAAAAACAAGAACCAGATCAAACTCTGAGAACGAAGCAATGCTGTCGGGGTAGTTAAGTCGCTTTAGTGTCACCTTGGCTGTCTGAGTGTCAGCTGCATGGCAGAGATAGAACCTAGTTTCACCCGCCCTCGTTACATCCCCTGCAAAATTAGTGTTCTAATAAACGGATTTTAAAACGCTATACATCGAGTTGGCAAATGTGTAAAACCGCGTTCATACTGCTATACTGGCAATCTTCTGCTACACGAACAAAGAATATCTATAAATCATCAAGTAGAGTGACTGTAAAAATGTGAAATACCATGCTTTCAAAACAATGGAATGAAAATCGAATGCAATAACGCTTAAGAATCACGGACTCTGCCCCGAGCATGGCAAATAAGTTCCATCGCAATTAAAGAGCTTTAGAAACGGAAATAACCGCAAATATCTGAACACTACTATCTAACTGGGGGTAACCTAGCAACAAATGGGAGAGTCTAAGCTAAGTACCAGTGTCTGAGTAGGACGGGGCGCCCCCCCCCCCCCCCCTGCTACCCGTACAGATTATAATAACAATTATCAGGCGAAAACACCCGCCCGGGCCCGGGAAACAATGGTATTGAACTCGAGATTCGTGTGAAGACGAAATTTAATAACACCCAGATCTACGCAACGGGACGCAGCAACTGATGAGGGGTTTGTTTGCCCAAATTACCTGCAGAGGTCGGTTAATATTTGTGTAGGACAGCTGGGTGCCAGGTTTCGGGCTGGGTGCCAGGTTTCGGGCGCCGTCTACTGTTATTACCGGTGTCTAGTAACTATTTATCAAGATAAGTTTTCCTATTGATTGTTAACGAAAGTAGCAAGTAACCGATCAGAATCGTAGTGTAAATGTTTAAAGACTCATCACTTTGGGGAAGCCGAATGAACACAAAATCGGACCTTCGTCCACCCTATCAAATTAGTGATAGAAGGGCTAGAACCGACAATAGTATTATAACATATGAATCTGGCGAATGTCTGCTAATATCCTCGTATATAACCCCACCCTCAGCTTATTAAGTTGTGCGACTAGTGACGTTTTGGAGATTGACGGCATCAACTCCTAGACTAGACCTCGGCCGTGATTGGTCTAATAATGGTCACGTGATGCAACTTTTGTGATTGGCATGTTGCTATTCGTCCATTCAATCTTCCAGTCGGTACATATGTTGACTTCAGCACCGCCGGACGAGAAGTCATGAAATGCATTGAAGAAAGGATATTATTGGCATGGTTAGCGGGACTGTGATCTCATTAATTGTGGTTCATTTCGTTAATGGAAGCCGGGCTGTTCTACTGGTTGATAGAGTTATATCTTTACAGTGACTATTACCGCTGTACTACAACATATTAACTGTGTCTACTTAGTACTCAATCAAATCAAAAGCAGTATAGAAATTGCGATAGTGCAAAGCATTTGTAAGTGCATTTATCATTCGTGCGTGTATTTATCACTCGGTTGTAGTACAGCGGTAATAGTTTAAGTGAAATGGAAAAGACAAAAATTCTTTCATTGAGGCTACCATGACAGTTCCATCGCTCGCAGACAAATTCCTCAATTGATACTATCCGTTAAGCACTGTAGAGGAGCCGAAAATTAAAAGCAAAGAAGATCTCGAAATTTTAGAAAGGGATAATTAGTAATGGCAATGCAGCTGCCAAGGTTTCAGATGTCGCGTAGCAAAGTTGAAATGAATCTGAAATAAAAATCAGTGTCCTGGCAACTTAACTTTATCTATTTTAACTACTTAGTAATTAATGGAGACACCGCTCACCACCGGTCAGGGGTCACGTGGTTCCGTAGCAACCCATGTAAGGTTTTATCAAGTTTGGTTATCAAATTATTTCCCAGGTTCTATTTATATTTTATGTGATGTAATTATTGTAAGGGTTTATCAACTTTGATTTGTTATATTAAGGGTTATATTATTATTAAAAGTTTATCAAATTCGATTACTTCTGAAGAATTTGGCACATATGCGATCATGTGATGGCAATATTCTGGCTTTGGAGGAAGTTTACTCAACAATTGAGGAGCTCCGTCCTTTATACGAATACGTGTCTTAGATTGAGTTGCGCGTTATCACGTGGGCGAATGGTAAGAACTTGAAACCACAAACAATAGTCGCAAAAATAGAAGGAAAATAAAACAACAAATAAAATATATACAATGTAAAATATATGATATGATCAGTAATTACGCTATAGTAAGTAATAATGTGGCTAATGGAAAGTAATTATGCGGCTCATGGAAAGTGCTACACATAACAATAAACGTTAATGTTGTTCTCGAATATGCTACGGGTAAAAGCGAGCCCCCTGCTGTAAAGACCTTGCTTGACATTTGTAAGTACACACAAGGACAGCAAGGTGTTACCACTAACCATTAGCAAAACTTGTGATATAATATCATAGCTTATGTTCAAGTAGCAGTAGCAGCAGCCTAGGATCAAGCTTTGTAACAATAAAACTACAGTGTATATATTTGCGATGTAGCAATGTCGAAATCATTAGCACCACGTAGAAAGAGCTGTGAAATTGAATTGAAGTGCTGGTCAGATCACGTGATCTCCCGGTCAGATCACGTGATACAACACGTGATACAACACGTGATACGACCATCTCTGTATGTGGGGTCGAGCCGCCGGTAGAGAGCTGTTCACTGAGCTCGAAAGGAGATGCAATGTAGCCACGGGCGAGTAGCATTGGTTCAAATTAATGAGTGTCACGGTGCAGATCCCAACAACTCGGGACCTTATTCATAATAAATGCCCTGTAATCTCGTTTATATGACGTAGAGTCACGTGCCTAATCTCACCGTCGTATCAATTTACATGTTTTTACTAACAACTTATATTTACACCTTATCAGTTATCACACACTTCATGTTCATGTGTTTTAATTTTATTACAGATAACATAAAACTTTGCATGACCCTTTCTAGTTCTCGCATTGGTTGATTTTGCATGCATGATTTTATACTTTGCAGGCACTTTAGGTTTAGCATAAAGCGGGAACCACCCTATGTAAGTTTGGAGCATTGAGATTACAAAATATTCGATTACAAAACCTAATTTTTTGGCAATAGGTTCCATCTGACGAACCTGTGCATTTCCATTTAGTGACAATAAAATTACAATTTACAGCACATATTACTAACGGGGTACATCTATCACAAGGTTAGTACGAGCCAGGTCACCTAGTCTCGGTGACCTATTTGGTAGCTTCCGCTTATCAGACAGACAAACAGACGGACAAACAGACAAACAAACTAACATACCGAAAGATAAAAAGAGACGGATGTCTCTATCAATCGGCAACGCCTCACTAACCGGGGGAACACTAAGAGGCAAGGGAAAGGAAGTAAAACGGAGTCTAGCCAATATCTGGGAGATAAAAGAGGAGGAGCTGGAAGGTATAGGAACACTAGAGAAGGTACCAGAGGAACCTGCTGTAGGAGTCAAACAGCTGGGTAAATTATTGGAACAGCAGCTTATTCGAACAGAACGTCAGGATGGATTCAGTTACTTTGCTGGAGATAAGCCCAAGTTAGAGGAGGAGCGGGGAGGAGAGGAGGAGCGGGCAGGACCTTCACACCAAGACACTTATCCCATTCTGTCTGATCAAACAAACAGTCCTGCTCCTTACAGCCCCCTCTCAAGGACTACCAGCCCAGATGACTCCTACAAGGATCTCCTGAGGTCCCTGACTCCGGTGGTGACCACCAGACGGAGGAGACAGTCCTCTGCTTCTCTTCTTAGTGAGGGTTCGGTAACGCATAGCTTAGATCAGTTTTTAGGTGGAAGTGAGGTTCCTACTGTTAGTGTAATTGGTCTTGAGGCCGTTGTTGAAACTGTTGATATTGGTGGTTTCTTTGATCCGTATGAAGATGATATGTTCAGGGTTTCGACAGTCTCAACGTTAACCTCTGTCTCAGATGATGAGTATGTTTTGTTTAAAGCCCATGAAGAGGAAGAGGAAGAATGGCAGTTCAGTTGATTGGAAGTTAATTGTTAGTTATATGTATTTTTGAGTGGTCATGAAAAGTTTGATCGAGTAGTTTTAGTGGTAGCGGAATTATGGATCGATCGTGATAGTTGGAAGCAAACTGTTAATGGTAACAGGATTGAAAGAACCATCGTTCTCGGCTTCCTAGGTATTAGACGTAACCAGAGTTGTAGAGAAGGCAATGTTAGTTAAATATTCCGTGGCGTCGTTAAAAAGAGCAGTCAGAACAGATTTACATTTGATCAGGTACTGTTCAAAAATGTTTCAAGGGAAGAACATAATTTCCGGTACAGGACCAATTTGTCCTAGTCCTATTAAACATTGATGATTTCTTTAGAACACAGATCCTCCAAATGATCCCACGGAATTTATTGTCGTTGAAAATAGTGGTATGAAAAATGATAACGATCTTCTTCAATCAGACAACAACAATCAACTTTTAATTACTTTCGATAAATATACACTAGCCCTTCCTACTACAAACATTTTACAACATTCCCAGTTTTACCATGATCCAATTTTTCAGGGGTGACTCGAAAGAAAACCACAAATACGGCAAAGCTCAGACGTTACCACCGAAACAAACAGCGATCTACAACTTCTGAACAGACAGCTACCCCATCATTATCTCACTATCTTATTGGTTCACAGATCTGCTAAATTAATTGCTATCAGCCGAGGAACTTAAATAACTAATTTTATGTTATAACCCAAATTTTGTATGGAATTGGAACAGGTTCGAAGAAGACACGAATTTTGACAGAATTTAAAGAATTTTTGCATGGTTTATTGATTTAAGTTTAACTTTTCAAGGACCCGTAAATACTTTGATTATTGGTTACATAAATTCACTGCCGTCAGAGTTTTAGTTTCGTATTTCAGAAAAGTTTGTTAATAGATTATTACCATTCGTTAAAGAAATGATTTGAGAAAATCTAGTTCACGCATCGAATGAAGTTATCAATATTCTGAATTGAAACTAACGATATGTTTAGAATGTATTTCCAGGATAATATGGAGGAATTATTGTAGAATTATAAAAAACCCATTAGATTTGAATTAATGATAGCCTCGCAAACGATTTTAGTTTAAGGCCGAGGGCGTTATGTAGTGATCATGGATCGATATCAAAGAGTATCATAATATGGCTTTCTTATCATTTTGATTCGAACTTCTTTTCTTTTGAATTGATAATTTATTTTTATGAATGTCATTGTCACTCCATTATACTCTCAGAACCTAAGTTTTTTTACAAACTAAACGCTCAGTTTTAATTCTATAACTTATGTTATAATTATCTCTTCACCTAATGTCAATGAAGGGTGAGGTAAGAAATTTTCCAGTTACCCAATTGCCAAATATAACTGAAAAACTATGATAATTTAAAGCATAAAGTGAATTATGAACCGATAGAAAATCGGTTGTACGTTCGTTATAAAAAGTTGACCGGGCCAGCGAAGGGAACAATGCAAAATGCAAAGCAGTTTGATAATTTATAGAGAATAAAGATTTATATGTATTTGACGTCACTCTCCTTGAGTCAGAGTGTGGTTAACATTTCACTACCCTATGCAAACTTTATAACGAGTAAATAGCAAAATTATCGTATTAGGACCCAAGTTGAAGTAGCTCCCAACATAAAGCCTTTGAGTGTCGCAGGTCTTTAAAATTAATAGCAACATGAACCTTAAAGCATGATTATATCGACCGGATATGATTACATGTCGTTTAACTTTACTGGGCGGCGCTCAGCCTGTCATTCCGCCGAATCTTTATTTATGAACATAAATATAATAGCCTGGGGTCCCCAGGTAAGTTTAACTTAGCGGAATCGGGGCGAAAGCCCCGATACATCCGCGCACACGTGCGCGGCGGGTTTACAACTTGTGACACTGACAATAAATGCCTGGCGAATGAATTTGAAACGAAATATCAAATAATTATTGTAAATTGATTCTTAACGGGTGATACTCGCCACTCGTAAAATATATTTTTCAAATATGTATAAGACCGTCGACGAGTCCAATATACAACTCGGCGCGTGCGTCTTGATAGGTTATACTTATAGTTATAGTTATACTTATAAACCTACAATTTGAAACATGTTGTATAACTATAACTATAACTAATTTTTTTTTTAAGTGCAAGTGATAAGAGGTTTTATCACACGTGTATCAAAATAATACGGTTTGCGGTTGCCTTTAGGACTAGTTTAAAAAATAATTGCGATGTAAAAGTAAAACATAAAAATTGAGCAAAGAGTTATTAATATTAACATTCGTGTGAGGACAAAAACTCAAAAAGTAAAATATAACAGGGTGTTCTTCTAATACTAATAGTAGTACTAGTACTACTACTACTATACTTGAAGTTCATGATACCAGTACTACCGCATACCATGCATTAATATAACCGGAAATAATTCTGCTATAGTCATAGAGAAAGGTCATACATTTCTTGCACCGGGAATGCTTCAATTCTTAGAAACCCAGGGCTAGACTCAATTAATAAAAGGTTAGAGCTGCATCGGCAGGCATGCAAGAACATCTTGTACGCCTCTTGTATGTTGTAGTTTCTGTTAATTTCATTTTCGATCAGGTAATCAGTCGCGGTGCTCGGTATGTTGCGTACCAGCTGGACACGACAGACTCAGACATCAAAGCGAGGCCAGGATCACAAAATCCTGGAAAGAAATTAGAAATTTTCAGGTGTTCCCGAGGCCTGGTCAAGTTAATTTTTGGTGTAGTGGACGAAGTAAACAAATATATTAACTCTAATTTGTAGCGCGATACGTTCTTTTTCGCCGGGCTAAAGTCTTTTTCGCCGGGCTAAAGTCTTTTTCGCCGGGCTAAAGCAGCTTTCGCCGGGCTAAAGTCTTTTTCGCCGGGCTAAAGATTTTAGTCTTTCGCCGGACTAAATATCATTGATCATGTTTTTTGCCAAGCTTAAGTTCTTTCGCCGGGCTAAAGCAGCTTTTGCCGGGCTAAAGTCGTTTTCGCCGGGCTTAAGATTTTAGTCTTTCGCCGGGCTAAAGCTTCTTAATTTCGCCGGGCTAAAGTCTTTCTCGCCGGGCTAAAGTCTTTTTCGCCGGCCTAAAGTCTTTTTCGCCGGGCTAAAGCTCATTTCGCTCGGCTAAAGTCTTTTTCGCCGGGCTAAAGCTCCTTTCGCCGGGCTAAAGCTCCTTTCGCTCGGCTAAAGCCTTTTTCGCCGGGCTAAAACCTTTTTCGCCGGGCTAAAGCTTCTTTCGCCGGGCTAAAGCAGCTTTCGCCGGGCTAAAGCAGCTTTTGCCGGGCTCAGGTCTAGTCTTTTTCGCCAGGCTTAAGTGTTAAGATTTCAGTCTTTCGCCGGGCTAATATTAATAATTTCATTTTCATGTCTTTTGCCAAGATTAAGTTCTTTCGCCGGGCTATAAAGCAGCTTTTGCCGGGCTAAAGTCTAGGGCCACAACGCAAAACTCGCACGATAATCTTATTCCTATGAACAGCTTGAGCCGGGCTTTTTCGCCGGGCTTAAGATTTTAGTCTTTCGCCGGGCTAAAGCTTCTAAATTTCGCCGGGCTAAAGTCTTTTTCGCCGGGCTAAAGTCTTTTTCGCCGGGCTAAAGTCTTTTTCGCCGGGCAAAAGTCTTTTTCTCCGGGCTAAAGTATTTTTCGCCATGGGCTCATGCTAGTCAATTGCTCTACGGGAAGCTTGAAAAGAGCACCGCACACAGGGACTGGCGTGCCGAGTATAAAATAAATGTTGACGTGTATGTGACGTGTGCTGAAAAAATGTAAACAGGAAATTGTTATTTGTTTTAAATCACTTTTGAAGACACATTGCACAATGCATATTGACAAATGACAAAAGTATTTTCAAAAGTATTCCAAGTTATTTGTATAAACGCATATATTGATGTTTACAGATTGTAGATGTATTGCAAAAGATTTGATTTGTATTAAAGTTTGAACGGATTTGCTGCAATGCGCACAAATTAAATTATTACTTTTACTTTATAATACAGTAAAATTGAAATATTCCGAATGAATATTGTACAGGTATGGTTTTTATACAAGCTCTCTACCCAAATCAGTCACAACATGAGGGAAGAATTTGTGGATACCTGGAAATCTGCCAAGGCATCCTCACCTAAATTAGAATTCTACAATCAAATTAAACATGATTTTGAACCAGAAACATACTTAGGAGTGGTTAAGATCCCCGATGCTCGGAAAAGCTTAACAAGGTTTCGTATTAGCTGGCACAATCTTTACATTGAGAGGGGCCGTTACGAAACCCCCCCTTTTTCAGCAAGGGGCTTAAGCCTATTGAGGACGAAATTCATGTTCTAACTGACTGTTTACTCTACTCCTCAGTTAGAGAAAAATTTAACTTCCATCCCAAAAATATTACTGACCTAGCCGGTTTGCTATCCGATAAAACACTAGACCATACAAAATTTACTGCCACAGCAAGAGCAATCCATTCAATTCTCTCGGTGAACGAAAATTTTACAGCCTACTATAAGAGCCCAGATTTCCACTCAAATACTGGCCAATGCATAATGCTATAGGACCTCAAAAATAGTATTATAAAACATTTCTATTTTATCCCTACACATTTGTAAATAACTAGAATTGTGTAACCTTAAATTATTTCAGAATTATAACTATTGTGAATTCAATAAAATAATTATCACTTTTGTATCCTTGTATCCTTGTATCCTTGTATCCTACAATGTTATTGAACTAACCCGGAATAAAAATTTCAATTAAAAGAAATTTACTGATCATGGGCGGCGTTCAGCCTGTCATTCCGCCAAATCTCCATTATGAACATAAATTTGCTCTATCCAGAGCCCTTGCGCTTGCAGTAGCGCGCGCCCGCCTCACGTTGTGAAACAAGCTGCAAGCGCGCCCGCAGCGGCGCGAAAGCACATGGTTAGGTGAAAACATAAATATAATAGCCTGGGGTCTCCAGGTAAGAAGAAATGAAAAACCGCGCGCTACTTTGAAGTGAATATAATTATAATTGTTACTTAGGTTGCGCTGTTTAGTTCATTATATCTGGAACGCGACGCTAATCCCATTACCAATTACAATGCGCGGTGTTCTTCCCGAGCTTCTCGCTTATGATTATACGCGTGATCAGAGAAGCGAGCAATTAAATAGACTAGCAATCTAAGAAAAAAATAATTATATTCTATTACTCGCTTCTTTTTATCTTATGTATATTGTATATGTGAGAAGCTAGCAAAAATAGTGCCGCGCATTATGTTAGGATTGGCGTGTCAGGTAAATATACGTAATGTTACCTGAGTATCCTATCCAGCAAATATTATTGGCTATTAGATTGTTCGTTTAATGATGACAAGACTCATCGACTGGCACTACAATTTTTTCCATTTTTAGGTCGACAGCACAAAAAGTACATACTGAAATTTTTTAATACAAATTCACGTACCCATACTATATACAAAAAGATAGTGACGGTCATATTATTATATAAGTGGCGGAAATAAAAGTTAAAACAACAAATGTTTGATGTTGTGGAATCAGGAGTTGTAGATATACAATAGGCAATACCCAGTGAGAAAAACTGAAATATGGACGATGGAGAATTAATTCACTCTGAAAGATGGGGATTGTGACCGAGAGAAGAGCACTTAGCTTTAAAGGAGGATTTCTAAATTCTATGCAAATTACACTGGGTAGTGGGTAGCACCAAGTTTATCCTACGTATTTTACAGCATATCCTCAATAAGTAGCTCACTAAGTAGCTCAATAAGTAGCTCTTTACATAGCGACGTATTTTACAGCATATCCTCAATAAGTAGCTCTTTACATAGGGACCTCAGGCTTAAGTGTTCATAAACACTTGAAGCTATTGCTGAGTGAAGGGCTGGCACCTTCCTGTAAATTTCTGCATGCTTTAGGGCTTAGTAATCATAATTTAGATATTGGATTAAGTTGCCTGGTACAAATTGTATCAATGGTTTATCGTCAAATTCATTGCAAAAAACTATAGAGTAAATCTTAAAACTTGTGCAACAATAAACAATTTCTGAAGTAGTAGCCTAGCGCAAATGAAGGACAACAAAATTACCTTAATCCTCTATAATCTTTCCAAAGCTACACCTTGTGACCCCAGGTGTAGATTTCAGCGACGTTTTAAGGGCACAATGTTAAGCTGCTAATTTGCAGACGTTGTTGGTCTTTTCATCAGATCATAACTGACCATACTGTAAAACTCGGAATGTAGAACAAACAAAGTGCCCAACCGA